TAAATTAGATCAGTCAATAGAAAGCCAGTCCTAGCACTGCTAGGATTTAACTGGTTTTAACATGTTACTGGTTCCCTCATTAGTCAATAAGTTGAATAAAATCTCTTGCACATCTTCATTTTATAGTTGTATGAAAGTCATCTTTTTCAACCCTTTGAAAATTATGCTTTGACTGGATGATTGTATTCTCTGAACAAAAGTTTGGCAACTGTTTTACCTTGCTTTTTCCCCCTCAAATTTTAATATTGATTTTAAAATCCTTACGAAGGTAGGGGAACAAAACCTTGTGTCTAGCCAGCTCAAAATGGGCAAAAAAAAAAAAAATTATCCAGAGAGTAGGTAGGAAGTATGTTTTAAAACAATAAAAATAAGGCTTTGCTGGTGGCGCAGTGGTTGAGAATCTGCCTGCCAATGCAGGGGACACGTGTTTGATCCCTGGTCTGGGAAGATCCCACATGCTGCGGAGCAACTAAGCCCGCGAACCACAACTGCTGAGCCTGCGTGCCACAATTACTGAAGCCCGCGCACCTAGAGCCCGTGCTCTGTCACAAGAGAAGCCACTGCAATGAGAAGCCCGTGCACTGCAACGAAGAGTAGCCCCCGCTCGCCACAACTAGAGAAAGCCCGCGCGCAGCAACGAAAACCAAACGCAGCCAAAGAGAAAATTAATTAATTAATTAATCTTAAAAAAACTTAATAAAAATAGATTCTGTTCTCTGATGATCAAAAAAAAAAAAAAAGCAGCCACTGGGACATGGGGAGGGGAGTAGGAAAAGAATAAGAAGAAAGGAAGAGCAAAAATCTTAGTTCTCCCTTTCACTTTAGCACAAACTATAAAGGATAGTGAGCTCATTTTCTAGGCAAAGTGGTCAGTAATCAAATTTTAAAATGAGAGGGGACAGATTACAGAAGTCAGTATATAGTATAGGTCCTCTATCTCCTTTTATTTAGTATAGGTCCTCTATCTCCTTTTAAGTCTCTCAGCTACCCCTTAAATGCTACCCCTTCTTTTGATCAAAGTAAGTCTTTGATTCTACTCATTTAAAGAACATGAAATTAAATAGGTTAATTTATCCAGAGTGTTGTAATCTGATAATAATCCAAATCTCTGTTTAACTTGAACTAGTTCTCACTTTTGTTTGTGGTACAGGTTAGGAAGAAATGTGAGGCTCTTTGGGAACTAATTAAATATTTGCTAATTCTAAGGGCTTAACGTAACATACTCCTGATGTTGATACTTAATTTGTGCTGACATTTTCTGAGCATTCCAGGAGATTTTTGAAGCTGGACTTTTAAGATAACAGTTGCCTATTCCTGTCCTCATAACTATGACTTACCTACATTGGACTGGTTTTTATTCAAATTGATAAATACAGTAGTGTTCCTTCTTTTTTGGTCCTGCATGAATGAAATGCCAACTCTTTCCTCCCAAGAAAATAAAACCAAAATGTCCTACTTTGGAAAACTACAACTGGATTAATTTCCCATTGAACAAGGTTAGCTGTATAATTTTTAGCCTATTCTAGAATAACTGGACATCAAATCCTCGTCTTCATTGCATGTTACAAGTATCTGTTTCTCCCCCAATTCTATGAGATCTGGAAGCTAAGCTTGGAAAAGAAGCATGGCTCATCAACTCAGCAGCATTTGTGCCATTTCAGTAGGAAAACATGAGTTGATAATATTTATCTCTGTAAGTTTTCAAGGTGTTTTTACTACAGTATTTTTTATACTGAAATATTTGAAAAAGTTTTCAATGAATAGTTAGCATTCTTATAATGGGAAAATAAGTCCATACAACTATTTTCACTTATTTATTCCTTATTAACTTGATTTTTTAAAAAAATTCAGACATTTTTTAGAGCAGTTTAAGATTCACAGCGACACTAAGAGAAAAGTATAGCAATTTCACATATAGCCCCTGCCTCTCCCATTATGAACATCTCCACCAGTGTTACATTTGTTACATCATAATCACCCAAAGTCCATAGTTTACATTATGATTCACTCTTGATGTTGTACATTCTAGGACTGCACAAATGTATGATGACATGTACCCATCATTATGGTATCACACAGAGTATTTTCACACTGCCCTGAAATCCTCTGTGCTCTGCCTATGTGTCATCACCCCTTAAGCCCTGGCAACCACTGATCTTTTTACTGTCTCCATAGTTTTGCCTTTTTCAGAATATCATATAGTTGGAGTCATACAGTGTGTAGCCTATTCAGATTGGCTTCTTTCACTTAGTAAAATGCGTTTAAGTTTCCTCCATGTTTTTTCATGACTTGAGAGCTCATTTCTTTTTAGCCTTGAATAATACTTCATTGTCTGGATGTACCACAGTTTATCCAGTCACCTACTGAAGGACATCTTGGTTGCTTCCAAGTGCTGGAAGTTGTGAATAAAGCTGCTATAAACATCCATGTGCAAGTTTTTGAGTGGACACATACATGTTCAGCTCCTTGGGGTAAAAACCAAAGATCCAAAGAGTGCCATTGCTGGATCATATGGTAAGAGTACATTTAGTTTTCTAAGGAACCATCAAACTGTCTTCCAACAGTTTCTTCACACCATTATGCATTACCACTAGCCATGAATGAGCGTTCCTCTTGCTCCTTGCCAGCATTTGATGTTTTCACTGTTCCAGTGACAGTGTTACAGATTTTGGTCATTCTAACAGTCTATCACTGTTGTTTTGATTTACATTTCTTTGATGACATGTGATGTGGAACATCTTTTTATATGCTTATATCCCATGTGTATATCTTCTTTGGTGAGGTGTCTGTTAAAGTCTTTGGCCCATTTTTTAATAGGGTTGTTTGTTTTCATATTGTTGAATTTCAAGAGTTTTTTATATATTTTGGATAACAGTCTAGAAACAGATGGGTCTTTTGCAAATATTTTCTCCCAGTCTTCTCATTCCTTTAACATTGTCTTTTGCAGAGTGGGTGTTTAATTTTTAATAAAATTCAGTTTATTGATTATTTCTTTCATGAATTTTGACTTTGGTGTTGTATTTAAATATTCATTGCCAAACCTAAGCTCATCTAGATTTTCTCCTATGTTACCTTGTAGGAGTTTTATAGTTTTGTGTTTCCATTTTGATCTGTGATCCATCTTGAATTGATTTTTATAATGGGTGGATGGAAGGTCTGTATCTGGATTCATTTTTTTGCATGTGGATGTCGCGCTGTTCCAGCACCACTTGTTGAAGAGACTACCTTTGCTCCATTGTGTTGCGTTTGCTCCTTTGTCAAAGATCAGTTGACTGTATTTATATGGGTCAATTTCTGGCTCTCTATTCTGTTCCATTGATCTATTTGTCTATACTTTCATCAGTACCACACTATCTTGATTATTGTAGCTTTATAGTAAGTCTTGAAGTCAGGTAGTGTCAGTCCTCCAACTTTGTTCTTCTCCTTCAGTGTTACGTTGACTATGCTGAGTTTTTTGTCTTTCTGTATAAAGTTTAGAATCAGTTTGTCAATATCTGCAATTACTTGTTGGGATTTTGATTGGGATTGCATTGAAATTATAGATAAAGTTAGAAAGAACTAACATCTTGACAGTATTGAATCTTCCTATCCATGAATGTGGAATACCTCCTCATATACTTAGTTCCTCTTTGATATTGTTCATCAGGGTTTTGTAGTTTTCCTCATATAGATCTTGTACATACCTTGTTAGACTTTACATAAGTATTTCATTTTGGGGGGTGCTAATATAAATGATATTGTGTTCTTAATTTCAAATTCTATTTATTCATTGATGGCAAATAGGAAAACTATTGACTTTTATATATCAACCTTATTAATTTTTTAGTATGGAAACTTTCAGACATGCAAAATTAGAGTAAGAGTAACTATAAAAAAATTTACCCACATCAACCATATCCTCCCCACCTTCAGGTTTATTTTGAAGAAATCTCAATATAATATCATTTTAGCCTTATTTCAGTAAGCATTGCTAAAAGATAAGAATTCTTTAAAAATAAGCAAACACATACCACTTTCATAATCTCCCTCCAAATTAACAATAATTCCTTCATATCACCTATTACTCAGTCAATATTTAAAATTCCCTGATTGTCTCATAATTTCTTCTCTTTGCTCTTCCTAGTTCAAGGGTAAGTATATGTGCCTTTGCTCTGGATGACTAATAGGAGGAGTGACATCCAGAGAATGAAAACTGGAGTTTGGGCTGACTCTGGCCTAAAACACAAGAGAGGAGGGGAAAAAGGGCCTTGAGGTTTCTTCAGGCCCAGCCCAACTCAGCAGTCTACAAAAACCAGCAAAGTTCTGGGACAAAATCTTAGGCAGGATAAAATGCAGATATCTGATTGACTATGTCTTGCATTGCATCTCTCAGGAATCTAATCTTGATTGTATATGGGCACGTTAATTACAAACCCTGCCGTCTGTCATGCTTGATAACATTTGGGTAGGTAGTACTTGGGCCGATAATGGAACACTAGCTCGATGGAGAGTCTCCAATGATAAAGGCCAGAGTATCTACGTTTTCCCCAGACTTGTACTCTATGGAGAGAGTGATACTGCAGCATTAGCAGAGGCTCTTGATTTTGGTGTAGATTGCTAACATCACACAATGACATTGGGTACTTCAAGGTATTGCTGCAGTTATTACTGTTGTTAATGTTGGTAATAATAATAGTAGGCATGAATTACTGCTTCTTCTATGAGGAGGATGTCTTTAATCCCGTATGGAGAAACTGAGACACAGAGAAATTAAGCAATTTGCCCAAAGTCCTGCAGCAAGTATCAGAACCAGATTCTTAATTAAATTATTTGAAATCACTGTCCTGTTTCTCCTTCCAATTTCTGCATTTCTCAGCTAGTAGGGAGGGATCTAAGTGCTGTTTAGGGAGATTACCCCTGTCCCTCTAAAAAGGGCAATCTGACACAGTAACTGGCATCTGGAACCAACAAGGGAGAAGCAGCAAGAGTGAGTTTTTAGGGTTCTTGTGCTTTATCCACAGATTCTCAGAGGCACCTGACCATGAGCTTTAGCAGTCGAATACCTAAGGTAAGTCAATTTCGTATACTAGACTGAACAGTAGGAATATACAGGATGAATATACAAAAGATGGATCCACTGTGGTCTCTACTGCTAGTGTGAGCTGTTCAAAAGCCTCCTCCCCTTCCCCCAGGTAAGGTTCCTCCTGGCCTAGGATTCTCAGTGAAACATAAGTAAACCCTGATCAAAGGGTTGGAATCAGAATTTTTACCATAGAAGCCTTGAGGCATTTAATCAATGAGCAGATATTTTAAATGGGTGTCTCTCTCTCTTTTTTTTTTTTTTTGCGGTACACGGGCCTCTCACTGCCGTGGCTTCTCCCGCTGCGGAGCACAGGCTCCGGACGCGCAGGCGCAGCGGCCATGGCTCACAGGCCCAGCCGCTCCGCGGCATTTGGGATCTTCCCGGACTGGGGCACGAACCCACGTCCCCTGCATCGGCAGGCGGACTCCCAACCACTGTGCCACCAGGGAAGCCCGGGTGTCTCTCTTAAATGGGGAATTAAGCATTTTTCTTAGGTGGAGGTTGAGGAAAAATTCAAGGAATTAGCACAGCTCCAAGAGCTAATGAGGAATTTAAAAAATCTTACCAATAGGACACTGTGTTTCTGAGAATTAGGTTTGTTCAAAAGCAGAAGAGTTTGTTTTCTATGGATAAGACATCTTCAGAGACTGCACACGAACCCAGGACCAGTACTCGAGAGACAGCTGGCTTTGGAAAAAGAACAACACATTCAGAGAAAAGTGGTATTGGATATAAAAATATAGTTTTATTTTGCAGTTAGGACAGAAAGAGTAGAAACATGCATCAAAGTGCGGAGGAAGACAGTAAGTTCAGGCAAAAGTCTTGAGGAAGATAGAATTTAAGGGTGTGTGTGTGTGTGTGTGTGTGCGCGCGCACGTGTGTGTGCGTGTACATGTGTGTGTGCGTATGGAGAGAAAAAAAGAGACAGAGAACAGGTGAACTTCCTATGTGCTGACACAATGCTAGATGCTGGGAGATGAGAGAGTTCTAAGGGTCCAGGAAGACACCCCGGTTTCTGATATTGCAAAAGGGTTGGATTAAGATGTCATCACTGAGGTGGGACAGTCTTGGGAAGCAGTTTCCAGAGGTGGCTCTTGTTAAGAAGAATGTGGGGATTATTTTTTCAGATGCCAAGAGTAAAGAATATATTTTTTTTAAGAGAGGAAATTCTTTAGGATTTGACAGCTGCTAACCTAAGCTACCAGCCTGTGCAGGAGACAGAGAGAGGAACTCAGGAGGCAGGGATAAGACTTGTTATCCTGTCTGGGCCCTGACAGTTTCTTGTGCTGAAACTGAACAACATGGTTTTCTAAACCATCACCCTGAAACTTTTAACTTCAAAACGGCGGTCGTTGATTTTTGATGACTGTGACTAGCAGGGTTGACAGCAGAGGGTAGGTTAAACACTCCAGTGTTATAGATGAGACAACCAGGGCATGAGAAATAAAATGATCATGGGGGTTGATGGCAGACCATGGTAAGAGTCTGTGGCTAGAAAGTTGGCTTCTCATCTCAGAGACATCCTTTCGTCAAATTTACCCTGGATATTGTCAAATTTGGAGTGATGCAAAAAAGGCAGGCTACACCGGTCATGTAAACTTGCATTACTAAGAGCTTCTATATAGTAGTGAATATGTGATAGCCAAAAATTCATCAACAGAGTGACACTTTAAGAGCCCCGTACAACTCTTGACTATGTTCCTTACTCTGGATTGAGAGATATCCCTTCCCTCTGGCCTTTTCTGTCCTTCCCTCTTCCACAACTTCTCACTCTTCTTCATCACTGCTTTTATTCCTATGCTCATGCCCTCTGCATTTTGCAGATTAAAGCTCTTTACTTCCATGGTGAATAAGCAGGCACATTAAAATATTCCCAGGGTAGCGATTCACTCCATTTGATCAGATGTAAAATGTCTGGAATCCAGACTAGCCTTGCAGCTATGGAAAAGAATTTCCAGGAAACCCTGACCATTAGTCTAAAAGCTAATGCATTTGAGCATTCCTCTGGATTATGAAAATGGAAATAATCCCTTTCCCCAGGGAGCAAAGAGGAGCCAGAACATCCTCACCAATGATCAAGCTTTCTACAAGATACACTCACAATTATGCACATGATCCCGTCATTAATGGGATCTTGGTGGATTTTCTGAATGGAGCCTGAAGTCTTGCCTGGAAGTCCTTTGCTTATTCCTGTGGATGAGCAGCTGCAAAGACACAGCACAAGTTCAACTTCCTCGGCACTAAAATTCTATTTTGAAACAAAAGACTGGAAGATAGAGGTTTGAGCTCTCATCCTAGGGGAATTTTAGGAGAGGGTCCTGTTTGGAGTGGTGCTAGCCTGGGGTCCAGCAGGGATGAGATATTCCATTACTGGTAGATCCAGCATAGTGGGGACCTGTGGACAGAGCTGCTGAAAGTTGGAGTGATCAGATCAAGTGTCATGTCCAGAAGGCAAACTGGGGCTTGTGGAAGACCTGGTCAATTTGAGACAGAGACTCAAGGACAAAATGCGATCCCAATCAGAAGACAAGCTGAGACTGGAAAGACCAGGCTGGGGGCAAATCACTCAGCTGATCTTGGAGACCATCTGTGAGTGCTCTAGGGAGCAGATGTGCCCATGGTTTGGGGTCCTCCATGAATTTTTCGGTTTTGTTTTCTAATTTGATTGCTTTTGGCTCACTCTTAGTGGAGCCAACTATTCTTAAACATCCAGGTCTATTGACGTGTGCAGAAAGGACTTACTGAGTGATCTTGACCTTTCTATTTGGGTCTAAAGAAGAAAAAGGAGGAAGGAGTTCAACCTTTAAATTGCTTACTACATTTCACGTTTCTTCTCAAGAATTTCCTCATAAATTCTTATCTTTAGGAAACGGAAAGTAAGTATTCTTATCCCTACTTCAACACAAGATGAAGCCAAGCATTAGAGAGTTTAACTAAGTAGGCAAAAATCAACAGCTAGTAAGTGGAAATTCCAGAATCAAAAAGCAGCACTGTGTTCCAAAGGTCATGCTCTTTCTTTCCTGCCATGCTTCTACATCTTCTGGAACAGTGGTCTCAGGACCCATTTACATTCTTAGAACTCATTGAGGACCCAGAAAAGCTTTTGTTTATGAGGGTTATATAAAGATTAATATTAGAAATTAAAACAGGGAATTTTAAACATATTCACTTAAAATAATAAAGCCATTACATGTCAACAAATATTTTTTTTTTAACATCTTTATTGGAGTATAATTGCTTTACAATGGTATGTTAGTTTCAGCTTCACAACAAAATGAATCAGTTATATATATACATATATTCCCATATCTCTTCCCGCTTGCGTCTCCCTCCCTCCCACCCTCCCTATCCCACCTCTCCAGGCGGTCACAAAGCACCGAGCTGATCTCCCTGTGCTATGCGGCTGCTTCCCACTAGCTATCTACCTTACGTTTGGTACTGTATATATGTCCATGCCTCTTTATCGCTTTGTCACTGTTTACACTTCCCCCTCCCCATAGCCTCAAGTCCATTCTCTAGTAAGTCTGTGTCTTTATTCCTGTTTCACCCCTAGGTTTTTCATGACATTTTTTTTTTAAATTCCATATATATGTGTTAGCATACGGTATTTGTCTCTCTCTTTCTGACTTACTTCACTCTGTATGACAGACTCTAGGTCTATCCACCTCATTACAAATAGCTCAATTTCGTCTCTTTTTATGGCTGAGTAATATTCCATTGTATATATGTGCCACATCTTCTTTATCCATTCATCCGATGATGGACACTTAGGTTGTTTCCATCTCTGGGCTATTGTAAATAGAGCTGCAATGAACATTTTGGTACATGACTCTTTTTGAATTATGGTTTTCTCAGGGTATATGCCCAGTAGTGGGATTGCTGGGTCATATGGTAGTTCTATTTGTAGCTTTTTAAGGAACCTCCATACTGTTCTCCACAGTGGCTGTATCAATTTACATTCCCACCAACAGTGTAAGAGGGTTCCCTTTTCTCCACACCCTCTCCAGCATTTATTGTTTCTAGATTTTTTGATGATGGCCATTCTGACTGGTGTGAGATGATATCTCATGGTAGTTTTGATTTGCATTTCTCTCATGATTAGTGATGTTGAGCATTCTCTCATGTGTTTGTTGGCAGTCTGTATATCTTCTTTGGAGAAATGTCTATTTAGGTCTTCTGCCCATTTTTGGATTGGGTTGTTTGTTTTTTTGTTATTAAGCTGCATGAGCTGCTTATAAATTTTGGAGATCAATCCTTTGTCAGTTGCTTCATTTGCAAATATTTTCTCCCATTCTGAGGGTTGTCTTTTGGTCTTCTTTATGGTTTCCTTTGCTGCGCAAAAGCTTTTAAGTTTCATTAGGTCCCATTTGTTTACTCTTGTTTTTATTTCCATTACTCTAGGAGGTGGGTCAGAAAGAATCTTGCTGTGATTTATGTCATAGAGTGTTCTGCCTATGTTTTCCTCTAAGAGTTTGATAGTTTCTGGCCTTACATTTAGGTCTTTAATCCATTTTGAGCTTATTTTTGTGTATGGTGTTAGGGAGTGATCTAACTTCATACTTTTACATGTAGCTGTCCAGTTTTCCCAGCACCACTTATTGAATAGGCTGTCCTTTCTCCACGGTACATTTCTGCCTCCTTTGTCAAAGATAAGGTGACCATATGTGCGTGGGTTTATCTCTGGGCTTTCTATCCTGTTCCATTGATCTATCTTTCTGTTTTTGTGCCAGTACCATACTGTTTTGATAACTGTAGCTTTGTAGTATAGTCTGAAGTCTGGGAGCCTGATTCCTCCAGTTCCTTCTTTCGTTCTCAAGATTGCTTTGGCTATTCGGGGTCTTTTGTGTTTCCATACAAATTGCAAAATTTTTTGTTCTAGTTCTGTGAAAAATGCCAGTGGTAGTTTGATAGGGATTGCATTGAATCTATAGATTGCTTTCGGTAGTAGAGTCATTTTCACAATGTTGATTCTTCCAATCCAAGAA